TACCATCTACTTTCTTACTCATCAGGAACATGGCACAACAAGTTATTTTGGGCACTCCCTTTTTAGCTTTGATTATGCCAATTGGGAAAATTGATTCTCATGGAATATGCTCTAATTTACATGGCCAGTCAATTACTTTCCAGTTCTTGACCCCACCAGTAAATAAGCATATCAATGCTCTTAAAGATAACATTATCTTTAAGGAAAAGCAACTGGATTATTTGCAAAAGGAGGTATCCTCCTTAGCAATTAATCAAAGATTGGTACAACCCACTGAGCAACAGAAAATTGAGTCACTACGGCAAAACTTTCTAAAGGAAATCTGTAGTGAGATTCCTAATGCTTTTTGGGCCAGAAAGAAGCATATTGTTTCTTTACCCTATGAAAAGGGATTTACCGATCGCATGATTCCTTCTAAAGCTAGTCCCAGCCACATGAAAGCTGACTACTTGGAATTATGTAAAACTGAAATCAGCTCTTTAATGGCTAAGAAGCTTGTCACTACTAGCTACTCCCCCTGGAGTTGCAGAGCTTTTTATGTCAATAAAAATGCTGAAAAAGAACGAGGAATTCCTCGATTGGTTATTGATTATCGGCCACTTAATCTTGCTTTAAGTTGGATCCGATACCCAATTCCCAACATCAAAGATCTTTTAGATAGGTTACAATCTGCTGTAATCTTTTCTAAATTTGATCTTAAATCTGGATATTACTAGGTACAGATTGCAGAAGAAGACAGGTACAAAACAGCCTTTTGCGTACCTTTCGGACAGTATGAATGGACAGTGATGCCATTTGGATTAAAAAATGCCCCTTCAGAATTTCAACATATTTTGAATGACATATTTAATCCTTTTACTGAATTTTCTATTGTTTATATTGATGATATTCTCATATTTTCAAAATCGATCGATCAGCATTATAAACACTTGAAAATTTTCAAAGATGTCATTTACAGAAGTGGTTTAGTAGTATCTGCTCCTAAACTAAAACTGTTTTTAACTAAGGTCAGATTTCTTGGTCATGAAATTTGTGATGGGAAAATTAGACCTATTAATCGCAGTATTGAGTTTGCTTCTAAATTTCCAGATGAAATTAAGGATAAAACTCAGCTTCAAAGATTTCTGGGTAGCTTGAATTATATTCGCAATCACTACAGAGATCTTGCACAGGACACTGCAATTTTGTACACCAGGTTAAGGAAATCTCCTTCCCCATGGACTTTGGAACACACCAAGGCAGTCCAGAAGATTAAACTCAGAGCCAAACAAATTCCTTGCTTAGCTCTAGCCAATTCTTCATGGTTCAAAATTGTGGAAACAGATGCCTCCAATATTGGATACGGTGGTATTCTTAAACAGAACAATCCCAACACAAGAACAGAGGAGCTTGTTCGCTTCACTTTAGGAACTTGGAAAAATGCACAATTAAATTATTCAACCATAAAAAAGGAAATTCTTTCTTTGGTTAAATGCATTTATAAATTCCAAGATGATTTAATCAATCAGAAATTCTTGTTACGCATTGATTGTAGTGCTGCTAAACAAGTACTGGAAAAAGATGTAAAGAATTTAGTTTCCAAACAGATATTTGCTGGTTGGCAAGCTGATTTATCTGCTTTTGATTTTTCTATTGAATATATTAAAGGCAGTTCTAATTCTTTACCTGATTTTCTAACTCGTGAATTTTTGCAGGGTTCATGAATCAGCCCCCCCATGGGCAGGGCCGGGGTAATACTCCAAAGGCTCGTGGCAAAAACAAAGCTAAGGCCAAAGTGGTTATACCACTCACTGATGATCAGTTTCCATATTTGGAGCATGTTGCTGATCTGCTCAAAACTCCTTCTAAAGGAAGCAGCAGTTCCCAGCAAAAACAACAGAAACCAACCATGAAAGAGGTTCTTGAACAAGAAACTCCATGGATACCTAATCAAAGGTATATTCAAACAGTATTGGTACTGGATTCTCAAGATGAGCAATGGATGCCAGATCCTTGGGAAGTAAAATCCAGATATTTCCAAACTCAACAATATGCTGCACCAGATGGTCGCCATAGATATATCTATGAAGCCATTCTTACTGAAACTTCCTCTGTAGAGATCAACCACACGAAGCAATTTCCGAATTCCAAAGATAGTCCTCTTACTTATAGTAAAGCTATCTTTAAGAGGCTTATACGGCCTAGTGACTGGGGATTAAATCCCAATTTGCTAAGGAAAATATCCTATGGTCACAGTTACAATTATTTGGATTATATCTCAGCTTGGACATATTCGTTCTTTTATCAAAATCCGAAACATAAGCATTCTTGGTTCCTCAAGATATGCCCCCAATCAGTTAAGGCTGATTTCCCAAACTGGGTTATACCCTGGTGGGCTATATTTGGCCCTGATCTGGATATGTTGCCCGAATCAATCAGTCAATTATACTTGCCATGGCAACAATTTCATCCTCAATTACGGGGACAGGATAATATTCCTGTAGGGAAATTCACCCTATTGTTCTTTACTGAATTTGGAATCCCTTGGATTTGGAAATGGGATTTCCAATGTGGTTATACCACTGACAAGTTACCGGTCCTCCAGAGGATCTTTTATTACAGATGGTGGTCAGGCATGACTCAAGAACCTATCCAAGCCCTCCTCCATCAGATCAGAAAGAAAACAATGGAATATATGGATAAGATTCCAAAGTTAACTATTCCAGAACCTGAAATCTTTAACCCATTTGAACTTGTTAAAGATATGATCAGAAAACAACAACCATTAATTACCGAAACTGATTTAATGGTTAAATGCATGGATTTTATGAGGACCAAATTTGTTAAATCTTTTAAGTCCTCCACCCCTACAGTACGAGATGATGCATCCATGGTATCAGTCTCTAGCTAGACCAGTCAAGACGGAAATCAGTTTTCCTGTCTAGCAAGTTATGCACAAGATCCCAATGAAGATCTTAATTCTGAAGATGAGCCTACAGTAGCAGACTATTGGGACTCTCTCACCATTCACTTGAGGGACAAGATGAATCCACCCAAAAAGTAAAGATTCCTCTTATCCTGCCGACAGAAGCAGCCAAAGAACTTTACCCAAAAGTCTTTGGTTCTACAGTATGTCCTTCATCAGATGACTACTTTCCATCAGATAAGGAGACAGCACTTAGTGGTGGGCCGACCGACTGCATTATTCCAGCACACGATCCCATGCACTATGCGGACTTCAAAATGTTAATTTCAAGTCCATTTTATGTATAAATAGAGGGCAAGGCTCCCTCCAATGTATCTTTCAATTTTCCTTTTCTCTCTTTTGTAATATTTCTCTATCAGCCTGGAAGTTTAAATAAAGAAAGTTTTCTGTAAGTCTGTTTACTCTTGTTTAAATAAGTTTTCTGTAAGTCTGTTTACTCTTGTTTAAATCTTGTAGTATATCTGTCTGTTTATCTTCTATTACTACTATCGATCCTCAAGATATATATATATATATATCTTTGTATATATATGCTTTCTGATTTAAAAAAAATTCAATTGCATTCTAAAATCCGGCAAGGGGTTTGTATTTGGGATCCAGATTTCCGTCGTTTGGATCCAGACTACTCTTCTCTTCGGGGTAACAATTACCAAACTCTCTGTGCATATGTTTTGTGTTGATTTGATTTCCATGTGTGTGTATATGTATTTTTCAGTCTTCAATTTGATTTCAGTGTTGATTGGCTTCTGATTGGCCTTGGGTTGTTAATAAAAGAGGGCGTAACGGTGATGAATTGACTGGGATGTATGTTGATCCAGAACTCCTTGTATTCTACTTTAAATTGTTGAACACTAATAATGAGTAATATAAAACCACGTGAATCTGATTGGAATTTTGTTAAGGAACAAAATTGTTCTCATTAAGATTCTTATTACACAAGCGAGATCGTGAAACATAGGCTTAATTTTTGGTACCTTTCTAGGCTAAAATTTCATTTCTTATTAACAACAATAATAGTAATAATAACTCTTAAATATTACATATCAAATGTATAGAATTTGATTTATAACCTTCACAATCAAAACAATGTTAAAATTTAGTTCTATATCAAAAAATTTCTTCCAACACCTCATTTAGAACAGAGCATGAGGACTAGTACCTTTTTCTGGAATGATGTTTTTAGTTGTGAATTGTCCATGTACTTAATAATGTATATAACATCATGAAAAGTTATCTTCTTGTTGTTCAATCGGTATAGAATACAATCAAAAGTGGAGGACTATTACCTTTTTCCTGGAATGATGTTTTTAGTTGCACTTATAATAATGTTCATTGTTCAGTAAGTTGAATACATGGTTTCATTGACTCTAATTGGGAACCTTGTCATGCTTGAAGTGATTTAACCCTTTTACATAACTGGGATTACAAAAAGCCTCAAATAAAAGAAAGAAATAAGTAATGACTAGAGAACCAAATGGTGTAATAAGGGTTTAGAAAAAAAAATAATAATAATAATTGATGGTGGAGGAGTTGGGCAGCATACTTTGTGGGTGGCGGGTGTAGGAGGTGGAGAGGAGAGAGAGAATGGAGAGAGGGAAGAAGAGGGAGAGGAGAGAGATGGTTGTGATGATGGAAAATTGGCACTGGACGGTGCCCATGGTGGGAGGAGGCGGCCATGGTTCGGGTGGAAGTGGTAGGTGGCTGTGGCTGTCATATTTGTTTCTTATGGGTTATGTTCATTTAATAAGATCTTTTTATTAAAATTGATTTAAAAAGAAGGCAATTATGACATTCATAAGTTATTTACTCATTTATTTATTTTTTATATTATTATTGGTTCTGAAGCTGGGGACAAGCGATGCCAAGAGGATTCGGTATTGTATCATAAATAAAGCCCATTTCATCTATTGTGAGACATTGAGCTTATTCTAAATCAGAACTCAATAGTAGATATTTTTATCTTCCTTAGGTGCCATCTTAGGGTACCCTCATCTACTAGGCTATGGGAGATTTATACATGACATGGGTCATCTAGGGTCCCTTTTCAGCTGAAACTTAGAAAAAACTGTAATACTGATGTGTCAATGAGTGTAACATAGAGAAATTGTAGAGTCCTATGCAAATACAGAATCTGATACCCTTTTTAAATCCCTATTGATCACTAGATCAGCATTCCATCAAGCAAGTCCTTGGTCCTTGGGATGTGAGAATTTACATGCTATGCATTTGGCCAGTATTGAATTTAACCAAAAAAATTGTTCTTTGTGAGTGCAGTACTGTGCAGGTCTTATATCTACATATATTTGGGAGAGGATCCTTTTGACAAGGAAGCCAAAGAGAAATGTGGGACGTCCACAAACATGACTAGTTTCTCTCTCTTTTAAAGAGAGAGCTAGAAAGTTCTCTCTCTTTTAAAGAGAGCTAGAAAATTATTTATTTATTGTACAACTGATCACAAACATCTAAAAATTATTCTTCACAACCCTTTTGACAAGCTTGTAGCCATCCCTGTTTCCATAATGTAAGCAACCATTTCTTTCATAATGCTTGTGGATTCACCTTATACCTCTTTTTGTACGTCCTCACTTGTCTGGAGATATGTATGATAAAAGTGAAGTTACAAATTAGATTTAAGTTGAGCAGAAAATGAACATGGATGAAGAGTGCAAATTAGTAATTAAACCTGCTTCAGACTCCGTTAATTTCTGATCTGCAATACAAGAAAGAAGCTCACCTTTATCACCTCTATATAGGTATGGAAGCAAAGCAGTCATTAAGCTTCATTCTCAAACCATTTATGAACAGGGACAGACCAATAGAGTAGTACTGAAAACAATGAGGAGAGGATAAGAAACAAACAGCTACAATAAAAATATTATTGATTGTTCACTCATGAGCGAGAGAGAGAGCATTTACCCTTTCTTACTAGGAGTATTCTTTTGATACTATGCTCTTCACCAATGTTTTATTATTCCACCCAAGTTAATGAGCAAGTAATCAAGGAAAGGAAAGCCACAGTGATGGAAAAACATGGTACCTCATACAATCTATAGAACAATAAGGGGAACCAAACCAGGCTCAATGCAAATCTTCATCATAATCATCAGAATCTTCATCAAAATCTTCACAATATTCGTCATCATAATGGTAAGAAATCGCCTGAATATATAAGTGTGTTTGGCAGATGTGGTACTTTTTCCAGCGATGAGCACCCCATGATGTTCAGTCCCTTCAAGGCTTCCAAAGCCTCAAGGCCCTCAATCTCGCGTAAGCTCAAACAGCCACAGAGCTGCAAGTGTCTCAACATTTTCAAGTTTGATAGATTCGGCATTCTTACCATGGATGGGCAATACGACAAATTCAAATATTCCAACGATACCAATATATGTAGTCCTTCGATCTTATTGAGATTTTGGCAACCAATAACTTCAATTTTTTTTAACTTGTTTAAGTTGGACCGATCTGGTTTATTTTCAGGGTGTTTGTACCCACTTATCTCTGAGGATGCTAGAGGGGCCGAACATTCAAGCAAATCAAGTTCAACTATTTCATAGCACAAACGCATATAAAAACTTGCCAGCGATACTAGATTTCCAAGCCCTTGAATTTGTGTCAGCCTATAGCACTCATCTATTCTCAAACTTTCCAGCAATTCTAGATTTCCAAGTCCTTGAATCTTTGTCAGCTTATCACACCCAGAAAGCCACAATTCTGACAAGAGCTTCAGATTTGACAGATCTGGTAGTATTTCCAGTGACTCAACACCACCAATATATAATCCAACCAGGTTGGGAGGTAAACCCAATATACATCGAAGTTTACAGCATGGTTGTAGATTAAGGAATTTGAGCTGAGAAAGGGCATCAATCTCTTTCGGTAGGGTCATAATGTTGCTATGTCCAAAGTCCAACCTCTGCAATTTGGATAATTTAACAATATCACTGAAAATTATCTGATTCATGTTGTCAGGAATCTGATAACACTGCAGGACTTGCAGATTAACCAGATTTGCAAGATTAGGGGTAGCATGCAATCTCCACAAATGTACACGCAGAACTTGTAAACTTGAGGGAAGCTCTGGCAATGCTTCGACATCAACGCATAAGCCAAGGGTATGAATGCTTGTTGGTAGGCTTCGAATTCCTGTAGAATAAAAGCTGCTTAAGTATCTCAAACATCATAATCTCCCAATGCAACTTGGAATGTTACCTCTCAATCTAGAACCACGTGCATCTATAATTTCCAGCTTCTTTAACATCCTAATTTCATCAGGTAGCTCCCGTATTTCAGTGTATGAAATGTCAAGCACTTTTAAGTTACTTGCCATCTGTTTACATGATACATAAAAATATAGAAACAATCATACATGCTCCAATATGTATGTATGTAATGGGAGACGAGAAATGAATTGAGATTATGAGAGTGAGATTTTAAAATGTATGTAGTATATACCGTAATTTGACTCCAACCCTTCCAGTTCTCCGGGATCCTACTACCGCTTAGATCAAGTATGACTAGTTTCTTCGTATGAAAATTGGTTGCTTCAAAATGCAGAGGCGAATCTTGCCAACAAAGCCATCTTAAGTTTAACAAGCGATGCTTGAAATCCCCAACAACAACTTCAGCTTCATTTATTTGGAGATACCGCAGTTTAGATCGTTCTGCGAATTTTTTATGCTCACACGTCTTTCCAGTAGCATCAAGATTTAGGAGTTGGACCTTTTCAGTTACCTGTCAATGAAAAAACCATAAAACAAGTAAACAAATAAAAAAAAACGATTTGCCACGTGCTAAAAAAGGAATTATTAATATTAGATATCAATTATTATTCTTATTTTTTAAAAAAATACCCATTTTTAATGACTTCTCAAAAAAACAGTTATTAGTGTTTAGAGATAATTTTTGCTTATATATATATATAAATAAATAAAATAAAAAAACTCCTTTTTTTTATTTTTCTTCTTCTTCAAATTCATCTTCATTTTTTATTTTATTCTTTTTTCATTTATAACAACCCTAAATAACTTGAAATAATTGAAAGATCGTGCATAACATTGTAGCCTACAACTTAATTACAAATGCCACACCAATCTAAATGTACAACATGCCTACTTTCCGTTGTAACCAGGTGTACTAGCTAGTAACAAGGACATCTAAAATTCTTTTCTTAACCCCCAAAAAAGAAAATGAAAGTTTCAATGGATGAGATGAGTTAAAACTTTTGAATTTTTTTTTTTTTTAAATACTCACCTCACAACTCTAAATAACTTAAATTGAGTTCCATTTTCAATTTAAATCCAAGCTGATGACATGAAAGAGACTTAAGAAAACATTAATCAATGCAAAAAATTTAGCGCTGTAAATTTTTACCATGAATTCCTCAAATACAGCTAAGGCTTCTTGTCGATCCCACAACCTGCTGCGCATTTCTGGATTCTCAAAATCTTCTTGACGGACGATTTCCCTACCAAGATCTCTTAGTTGATCATGCATTCTCAATACATTATCATTTCCAAGTTTTACTAGAGACATGAGACAAAGGACATTAATTTCTGTCTCTGGAAAATAGCCGCAGTCATCCCACATGTAAAATGGATATGTTTTATACATCCCAATAAAAAGACATGCAATATCAAGAAATATCTGTTTTTGCTCATGGGTTAATACATCATAACTTACTCTCAATTTTTCCTGAACTTCATGATTTGGTATTTTCTTCAACTTCTTCGATGTATCTTCCCATACTGTTTTTGGCTTGTCAGATAGAAATGAACCTATAACCTCAAGAGCTAGAGGAAGCCCTGCAATAACTGATACCACCTCTCTAGAGATACTATCAAAGTCCATTGGAGGAAACTTTTTCCGAAAAGCATGAATGCTGAGAAGTTGAAGAGATTGGTCTGGGTTCATAAATGGAGGTTCGTAAGTCTCATCCACTTCAAGAACATTTAAAACGTGCTTGTTTCTAGTTGTAACTATGATCCGAGTTCCCTGACCAAACCAATAACGACTTCCCACAAGCCAATCAAATTGAGACTTTTCATCCACATCGTCAAGAACAATGAAAACTCTCTTTTTGTGAAATCGACGTTTGATAGCGTCCATTCCACCGTTAACATTAGTAATGGGAGGGGGCGCTTTAAGAGTGTCGTTGAGAAGCTGATTCTGCAAATCAACAATACCTTTATCTTTGTATTGTTTGACATTTTCCCGAACATCTCCAAGGAAGCTACAACAATGTTCAAAGTCATGGAGGAGCTTGTTGTAGATGGACTTGGCAATAGTTGTCTTGCCAATACCACCCATGCCAAGGATACCAACAATCCTTACATCATTTGAACCAACATTTAATAATCTCATCATTTCATTCAGATGATCATCCATCATAACTAAGTTGTCAAATGTAACCATGCATTTTTTCTTCAGGTTCAACAACACTGTTTGAACAATCGTTTTTACTAATTCCCCATGCCTGATTAATGTCAAGAAGAAAATGAAAAATAATAATTAGTGACCGAGACGTAAACAATCAGCTAAAATAATGATTGATGTGTTCTACCATAGGGACGATGACTCATGAAACCAACATTTATCATGCTGTTTTTCTTCTTATAATTTGTGTTTGTCCTTCTAATTTGGTAGTTTTTATTGGATTCCAATGCTATTATAAAGTTCCTCTATATATATATATATATGCAAAGAATTTAACGTAATGGGGTTATTAGCAGGAAGGGATTAACATACCCATCAGCTTCTTTGTTGACATGCCAACCCTTGAGTTCTCCAACCTGTTTGAGTGCCTCTTTCCATTTCATAACGGTGCATTCATCAAAACACCTCTCGTGCTTGCGAAAGGCTTCCTCGTAACCCCCAGATTGATGCCTCACATCCGATGGTTCAACATCGTAGAAGATTGGCAGAATCAATTGTCCATTGCTTCTCTTGCAATCCACCATCTGAGCCAGCTCGCGGAGGCACCATTTACTGGAAGCATAGTTGTTGGAGAAGATGGGGATGGAGATACTGGACTCCCTGATTGCTTCGAGGAGCTCAGGACCGATCTCTTCTCCTTTGCGAAGCTCATTGTCATCCCGAAAGGTGCGAACACCTGCGTCAATGAGATAGGTATATAGAATATCTGTGAATGTGCAGCGAGTGTCTGGACCTCTAAAACTCAAAAACACTTCGTATTCGCCTCCTGGAACAGGAACGGAGGTGGCTGAAGCATCAGACTCCATTTCAGATATAATCCTCCTCCTCTTACTTGGACCAGCAGTCTCACTATCCATTTCAGATATAATCTCCTGTGTCTTTTCTGCTCGATCGATCAGAAACACAATATTGTGGAAGATAAATCTTGTACGAGTATTACCAACCACCTATGATACCAAACTCAAATCTCTCTAACTCACCTCAGTGTTTGGCCTTTGGATCTGCAAATTGAGACATTCAAACACCCAATTTATATTTGCAAATCTCTCTCGATCGATCGATGATGTTTGGGTAATGGATCTGCAAATTCTCTATCTGGAATTGGAAAATGATAGACTCAACACAACCCATACACCCAAATTAACTTTCTCAGTCAAGTCAACAGGAAAAAAGGATTATATATATATATATATATATATATATATATATATATATATATTTATATTTATATTTATATTTTTCGGAAAGTAAGGATAATATATTTTTTTCATGCACTCACACATTAGTAAATTTCATACAAATTTCCTCACTATTTCAAGACACAACGTATAATATTTATTGTCAAGGTATTCAAAATCTAGGAAAAATTACATACATATAAAAGTTATAATGTTGGACTCAAATTACAAACCACAGGCGTCAGCAGAACCCATATTACAAAAACATGGACTTCAGTTTCAAAAAATTGACCAGATCCCAACTTCAAATAAATTTGTGATTAGGAAAAGAAATGCCAAATGAATAACGTCCATTAGAATAGGTAAAATAAACACAATAATTTTAATTAGTTTATGGAGTAAGTTAAATCAATAATAAATTAAAACAAATTTAAAATATATGGCACAACCAATAAATTTATATTATTTAATAAATTGAATAATTGAAATGCAGACCATCTTTATTAACATCAAACATTGGTGACTCTATTCTACACCATAAACCATGTTTAATAGTCTACTAATAAAAACAAACCACAAACTTATTCTCCAAGTACTAATAAAACTAAATATTTAATTACAAATTTCACAACCAAACCTATCTACAATAATTACATCTAAATATCTAATGCAAAAGACTTTCTAGACTCCGCCCGTGGCCATATATACATCTCTATAGCATGTTTATAGTGCATATTGCACCCCTTCATAAAAATAAAAAAAAACACTCCTAAACTATGACATTTGTATAAATAAGTCCAATTTATAAAAATTGGACTAAAATACCTTTAGCAACACATTTTATATAATATATATATATATATATATATATATATATATATATTTATTTATTTATTGTGAAATGACTAAAAAGCACTAACACTGACGCTATTACACTGCAAAAAAACAAAGGTTTTTCTTTGGGTTCTGTTTATGTTTTGACTGATTGTGCTTGGATGCTCGGAAACTGCGAGGTTAGTTCTGTAAAAATGGAAGAGCGAAGCTCTTCGACTTTGCAAGGAGAGGAGGAAATTCATCAAACAAGGTACGCTTATCTTCAATCTCTTCGTAACATTGGTATTTTACTTCGGCGATTCGTGGAGGCCCAAGTGTCGATAGAGTCGTCTCTGTCCCCTCCGACCATTGAAATTGACAAAACCCCAGTTCATTCATCCTACTCATCACCAGTGTTTCGCCGGAATCGTGACTCTTACACTCCCCCATCACCGTCAACCGTTTCAGTCCCCTGCCAAGGTTTTACCACAGCGAAGGTAGTAACATACTAGCCAATGTTTTCTGTTCCAGACGCAACAACATTCTGGGCACAAAATTTGTAAGATACTCCGGCCCCATAAATAAATGTTTAAATTTTCTAATTTTGAACATATATATATATATATATATATATATATATATATATATGTATAATTCTTGTAATTGAATGAGTATATTATTCAGATGCAAGTGCAAGACAACAACCATAGATGGGTGACGATTTTTTTTTTGGAAAAGATGAGGGAGAAATAACGAAACGTTCGTTAGAATATGCTAAATTTTCTTAATTCAAAATAGTTTTTAACTTTCATTAAATTAATTGACGTGGTTTAACATTGTGTAGAGAATTTAATTTAAGTTAAGTAAGAGAATATTTAATTTGGAGGATCTAAGTCCATATATAATAACATTAGTTTATTTATTAAAATTTGAGATGTGATCTTGAATCTGATGTGACAATAGCTAAAAAGACATTAATATCCTCTAATTTAATGCATAGTACGTTATAGTCTTTTATAATTTGTATATCTTATTTTAGCAAACTAAACTAAACGAATTTGCTTTGTAATTACAATAGATTTTCTCCCTCTATTGTTAATTTGCTTTCCATCTTAATTTTTCAATATACATACAAGTGTGTGTATATATAAATATTTTCTTCTGCACTCTTGTGTTTTTCAACAACTCTATATCTTCGTTGGGTATGCCTTTAAAATTTAATTGTATTAAAAAAATATCAAATCAAAATACAATTATAAAAATCCTTTAAGTAAATTATGTTAATTAAGGTTCTTGTTCACCAGAAAGATTCATGGTAAAAATTTGTAATTTTTAGTTTTAATTATTCAAAAATTTAATAAAAATAATCTCCTAGATGAAGATATATATACTGGCAAGAATTCAAGTTATCAAGTTATATTAGGGTTTGGATTCCATAATTATAAATTTTGTTATTTTTTTCTCTCCTTTCATATTAAGGATCTTTTCTATATTAAAAAAATTACTTTTAAAACGTACAAAGTAATCAAATAAGGTGACAAATAAATTGCCACATAATTCAAAATAAAATCACAAAATTTTCAAAAATGACAAATTGAGTAAATCTTACTATGGATGTGCAACCAATCAACCCAAATATTCCAATTTGTAAAGTCCAAATCTCATAAAGTTCAGGGCCAAAACTAATAAAACTACTCTTTTTAACTTCTTCAAATATGATAGATATGTCCTTGTCCAGGGTTTTTGGACTCGCTCATCTCCAAATAAGGATGGTAAAGATGCAAACTGTTTGAAGCATGTTAAGGTTAGACAGCTTATTTATATGAAGATATTATCCAAACTTCTCAATGATTCTAATTTTCCAAGGCCTCAAAAATCTTTCCAGCTTAGTGCAATTGCATCTCAAGGAATAATATCAACAAAACTTTCCAACTCGGACAGATATGACAATCTTTCCAGTGGCTTACAAATAATACAGAGATAAATCAACTAGATTTGAAGGTTAGCAAAAGATAGATTGAAGATAGTTATGTCAAGTAGTTGATGGAGGGCACCAATCTCTTTGTTGTTTAAATAACTGGGCTATCAGTACATTGCCCAATTAAATTTCCGGGATACCATACAAAGTGTCTCTTCATACGGGTTGGATAGTCGAGTTTTTATCTGCGACGTGATCCTAATGAATTGTTTTACATGATCCTTTATGAGATACTAAGTTCAAGTAAATTATCACACGAGTCAACACTTAGGGTTCACCAATCCCTTTTTGCCAGATTGTAATTCTTAACTATTGGCAATCGAAAAGTTAAAATCACATTTTCATCTCATTTTGGAAATATTCTTATATGATCGGACAAAGTATCACTTATTAGTTAAACATCAATTTGAGGTTTGTTTATTCACAGGTGACCACGCTTTGATTGGGAATAGGAAAGTGATTTCCAACTTCCATAGGGGATCAGCATTGACCAGCATCGCCTATTATAATCAAATCAATGTATTAGCTGGCAAATAATTGTCCTAAACAAATTCATAAAAGAATAGACTTGAGGACCCACCATGACGAACAAAACCATATATTATAGAGACAATGACTTTAAGAATAGCTTCAAAATGATACTCTGTTACTATTTTATTTAGATGTTATATAAAATAATAATGGTTTATGTGTGAAATTATGGATGAATAATAAATTTAATCACATCAATATTAAATGTTGACTTAGTTGTCCATGAAATTAAAATTGAGGTGTGGACATGAGGTTTGTTATTCACAAGTGGCCGCCCTTTGATGGGTAATAGGAAAGTGATGATTCATTATGGGATGTGCATTGACCCAACATCACCTACCCTATCAGAAAGTAAAATTAAATCAATGTGTTAGCCACTAAATAATTGTTCTAAATAAACTCACATGTGAATAAACTTGAGGATGAGGTGTGGTGGCCCCACCCTATTGATCATAGATTGATAAAAATAAAAAATATATATAAATAATACAAAGAGAACCATTTCTATACAAATAACTAGCTTAAGAAGCCAAATCACCTTATTTTTATATAAAAAAAAAATTCACTTTTATTTTTTAATCCATCTTTTGGTGAGTAGTACTTAACACCATTTTTCGCTCGTTATTAACCCAAATTTATATAATTAATTAAAACTTAATCTATTATGGATGGAAGACTAAATGATAAAAGAATCTTGGATATTAACAGGGAAGATAATATTTAATTTTTAATCACTTTATTTTATGGTATTTGAGAAACTCTAATCTTGTAATACCCCTAATTTTTAAAAGGATAGTCTCGGTATTTTGATTAATTGTTTTCTTTTCATTAATTATTTTATTTAATGTTTTAATTGGTTTAATTGAAATTAGCTGTTTGGTTGACCTGTTTATTGACTTTAATTATTTAATTGTTTTACTTAGTTTAATTTTATTTGTTCAATTGTGTTCTTTAATTCTTTGTTAATTGTTTTTTATTTCTTTGTTAATTATTTTATTTAGTTTTTGGTTAATTGGTAATTAAAATAAATTAAAGTTACTTGTTTTCTTAGATTCACATTACTATAAGATTGGTGGTAAGTAGCAGACATGCTTATTCACTTAGATGGTGTTATGGGCCGATAAGGTTTCACATTAGGGCTTCCGTGAGCTTTGGGTTTTGTGTAACCTTATAAATAGACGTAATACGGCTACCTAGGGTTTTACATACAAATAAAAAAACGCAAAGAAAAGAAAACCAACACACGTCTGTGGAAGTAGCAGAGAGAGAAACAGAGGAGGTTTACAACAATTGTGTTCGCCGGAGGTCTTAGAAGACGGCGTAGAGATTTTGAACAAAGATCTCAAAGACAAGTTCTATACCTAACTCTCTCCCTTAGACTTGTGTTCTTTACATCTCTAATACAATTCTAGGAGTAAATAAATATTGGAAATAATCTGGTTTGCATGTTCAGAATTGTTCTAAATCGGTTGTTTGCATGAATTATTGTTTTTCGTTCTGATTCTTCTTTGTGTACTTCTTGTTCTATTTGAAGTTAATTATTGTGGGATGGCTTTAAAACTTTCTGGAACACTAGAATCAAATTTTAAATTAGTAGGAACCTGGACAGTAAGGGACAAAAGTGTGGGAAATCGTCGGAGATC